CCTCAGAGGCAATGGCAGGATCTCCAACAGCCATCTTGGACCCTTAGGCAGCCTGAGAGATGCAGGACATGTACTACAGATGGCAGAGCAGAAGGAGCCTGGGTTCCTGACTACGTTGCGGAGCAACCATTCCAGCCATAGCCCGCTCAGCTGTAGGCATCTCCTTAAAACTGATTAGTCTGAGCAACCTCAGTCAGGTGTTGGTGCCTAGAAGGGCAACATAATGCGTTAGCAGCGCAGAAATGAGTAAGCCCGAGAACAGCAGGAGGATGGGGGTGGGGAGGGAAGAGACAAAGGAATGTCGCGGTGGTGCAAGTCATTTCTCTGATCCAGAAGTGGGCTGAAAGTTTGGAATGAGGGCTTTTTGGCAAATTCGAACTCCAGCTGACCCAGTGCCTCCTGGTTAGATGACCCTCGCAGAAGAAGCCAGCCTTGCCACTGCCCAGATTCCAAGTGACGACGACTCCCCCAGCATCAAGTGGTGCCAAGGCCACAGGGCCCAGGCTGGCCCCATCTCCCGTCTGGTTGGCTTCCTCCCCTGCGTGGAGACGACCCTCTGGAAGGCTCTTTGCAGCTCTGGCTTACCCCGACATGTTCTGGACCTGGCTTGGAAATGGGGCTTCCTGTGATCACGGTAATCCTGTCCTGAGAAGCAGGCATGAGGTCTCCAATTTCTCTCGAGTCCGCCTGAAAGGCTGCTTCTACCGTGACAGAGCGGGTTACCCCGCAGGACCCAGGCGCCAAAGCTATGCTTTCAGCCTGTGCATTTCCCTGCCTTTCCGGACTCTTCTCCTCACCCTCCCCAGGGGAGACCCTGACAAGCAGAAGCCGCGCCGGGAGCTCGGGCCCCAGCTGTCCCCAGCCTTCCACCTCTGGCTCCAATGCTGAGTCAGCTCCGACCCCCTCAGCCCAGTGCGCGCTGCTCTGAGGGAAATAAATAAAAATAAAATGGCAACAACCTATGCCAAGTGGGGCATGGGTGACAGCTTTAGCCAATTAACATTCCTTCGGGGCTCAGGCGGGCCCCCTCAGCAGCACTTCATAAATGTCAGGAGGAGATCGGAGCCACAGGCCTCCACCCTGGACGGGGCCTGTCTGGGCTGGGCCTGTCGGAGCAGCCTCCCTGGAAGTGCAGGGCGAGCCGGAAACCAGGGTAAGCACCCTGCCTGCCCGCCCTCCTCCGGGTGAGCTGGGCCCTGGCAGAGAGTTCCAGTGCTCCCTAGAGGCCCCAGAACCCTCCTGGTCACCACTGGGGCGGGGTGGGTCTCTCGCCGAGGATAGGAAGGAGTATGGCACAGCCTGCCCTCCCAGGCTCGGTGCCCGCCCCAGAACCCTCCTGGTCACCACTGGGGCGGGGTGGGTCTCTCGACGAGGATAGGAAGGAGTATGGCACAGCCTGCCCTCCCAGGCTCGGTGCCCGCCCCCCCGGGTAAGAGTTTACAAGGCCTTCTCTAAGCTGCTGCCCAACTGTACTCTGATGGTTCATTTTGTGTGCAGCCTGACTGGACAACCCAGTACCCCAGTACTTAGTGAAATGCTCCATCTGGGCAGGGCTGTGACGTTAACTTGCCAGGCTGAGTAGAGCAGCCCCCTGCCCTCCTGTCGTTGGGCCTTGTCCCATCCCCTTAAGGCCTAAAGGAAAGGTTGGACCCCTTCTCCCCACCTGCCTCTCCCCCAGCTGGACCGCCATCTCCTGCCCTCTGACACAGGCCGAGAGCCCTCCTCCTGTCACGTGAGCCAGTTCTTGACAGTTAGTCTCTTGGCACAGCTGTGTGTCTGCTATCGGCTGGGTGTTGGCCTCTTCCAAATCCCAAATCGCAACTTAATCCCCAAATTCGTCTGGCATTTGGAGATGGGGCCATGGGGCACTGCCTGGGTCAGGAGGGCTCTACCTTTGTAAACAGATTTGCCCACTCACGGGTTCATGAATTACTGCGGGAGTGGCTCTGTTACACAAGAGCTCGCCCAGCCTGCTTGCTCTCTCCCGCCGTGCTGCAGTGCATCACAGGCCTCCCCAGATGGGGAGCAGATGCCAGCACCGGGCTCCAGGACTTCCCAGTCCCAGGAACCTGAGGCACCTACAGCTGCCTTCTCCATCAGTTACCTGGGCTGGGGTATTAGAGCATGAAAGAACCGGGAGGGCCAGTGTCGTGCTGAATCTCCGTTCCTTCACTCTGAAAGTCCCTCCGTGCACCCTGGCTCCTGGAGGGCACCTCCCCCCCATCTGCTTTCAAGCTCAGTGTCCCCAAGGACCCGAGCATGCTCTGCACCCCTCTGCTTCCCTCTCCTTCTCCGTGTATGTCTCCTGTGGCACCTCTGGCTACTCTGTAGCCCTGATAGACTCTTAGTCCAAGGCAGGCCCTGTATCTGGTTTGCTCACTGCTAAATGACTCGGGATAGAGAACTACCCAAGTGGACAGTGTCCCTCTCTCCTTGAGGGCTCCCAGATGTTTGGTCAGAGGTTTCCCAGAGCCCTTGTTTGGTCCCTTTAGTAAACCCCTTTAAGCCAGAAGATCCCAAATCTGCCAGTGTATCAGACTCGCCTGCAGCTGCTGGTTTTGAAAATATAGCTTCCTGCTCTATAGCCGTAATCTTGGGGCTGGAAAACTGGATTTGTGGCAAAAGCCTTTCGAGGCTCCCAAGCAGAAGAAAAGCAGTGGCCCCTGGAGCATGGGGCTGGGGACCTTCTCTGTGTTCCATCTCTGCCCTTGAGCAATGCCTGGCACAGGCATAGAAATGGGACACGATTTGAGGGAAGCTTCAGTCTGACCACAGAGGAGGGAGGGAGGTCAGGACACGTGGGTATACCTCTAGCTCTGCCCTAGAAGGAGCTGCATGACTCCTGGCAGACTGCTTCACCTAAGCCTCAGTTTCTCCGTCCAGAACATGGGGCTGTGAGAACAACACACACCCCAAGGACTGTTGGCAAGTAACTGGGATATCTTACAGGAATACCTAGTCAGCTTACATAGGGCGCTACTTTTGTACTCTTCACCACTCACTATCTATAGTTGATAGCCTTGCACCGAATAAAAGGCTTTGAACACCACAGTGAAGGAGTAAGTGTAGACATAAATCACATGCATGTGCTTATTCATGTTCTCTGACCGCCTCCCTGGCTCCAGGCCCAGGGCAGGACACTAGGAAGGCAGACAAAGCCCCTGGCCAGACGAGTCTCCCTCCCAGGGCAGGGGCCACAGCACCCCCAGGCTCAGGCAGCTCATGGGGGTGAGTGGCCCGCCCGTGCTCCAGAGACTGGAATCTTCCTCTGCAAAGGACAGCCACCCCTTGGTCCCACAGGGACAGTCAGGACAAGAGGGCTGGAGCTCCTGATTTTGCAAAAGCAGCTGGGGATTTGTATAGGACTCTCCTGATTTTTCAAATACTGGCTGCTAGCTCAAAATTAAACGGAGAATTGTGTGAGAATCATGGAGGCCCTAAGAAGGTGGAAGCCCACCTGCCTGTGGTGGGGTGGGGCCTGGCTAGCCACCAGGTACCTTCCGCACAAGCACACAGTCCCCTGCAACGCGAAGCCAGGCAAGGCCGACTCTGCCCACTCGCCAGGAGGACTTGGAGTCCCAGGAGGAACTTCGGTTGCACAGTGACTTGGCAAGGTGCAAGCTTGAGGCACTCTGGGAGGAGACAGAGGTCCCAAGAGCGGCAGAACCAGAGCAGTCACCCAGCAAGCAAAGGCCAAGCTGAGGTCAGCACCAAGCCCGCAGCCCCCCCCCCCCCCCCGCCCCCCCCCAACTCCGCTTTCGTCGCTTTCGTAGGAAACCTCCTCGCCTTGATTGGGGCGCACACTTCCACGTCCGGGCTGGGGATTAGCGGGGGGTGCAAGCCCAGGACTGCACCTCGGGCTCTGGCACCGGGTCGGGGTGGGGCATCATGACATGAGGAAGCCGTTGCAGACCCGTGGAAGTCGAGCCTTATTTTGTCAAAAGCGTGTGTACACACAGGCACAAGGGAGACCCGGCCCGCTCCACCCCTGAGTGTCCCCAGGGCCCGCGCCTGGGAAAGTGGGGTTCCTCCGAGCCCGTGTGCTCGCTTCAAGGTCACCGTACCCCCGATGGCACTCGGAGGGGGCCGCGGGGCGGTAACCAGGAGGCAGCGCCGCGCACCCAGGGGTTCCGCGGGCTCCAGTCCAGCGAGAGGGGCGGAGCGGAATGGCGACGCCCAATCACATGACGAGTCTCTTCCTTGTTTCTTTGGTGTTTCTTTGTTTCTCCTTAAAGCACGTCGAGGGAATTTTAAATCTCTTTCTTTTTCTTTTTTTCTGGTTTGCAGAAACGGGGATTGAACTCAGGCCCTTGCGTTTGCCAGGCAAGCACTTATTCTACTGAGTCAACTCCCGGCCCTTTAACTTTATTTTCCACTTTTCACCTTCCTTTCATACCAGGCCTTTACCGGTTTTCTTTTTCTTTATATGCCTTTTTGAGACACGGTCTCGCTCTGCAGTTCAGGCTGGACTTGAGCTCACTTTGTAGTCCAGAATGGTCTCAATCTCACAAGATCCTCTTGCCTCAGCTTCCCAAGTGCAGGGATTACAGGTGTGCACCACCATACCTGGCTCTTTTTTCTTTTAATTTTCTCTTTTATTTTACTGTTAGATAGCCATCAATCAAAAAGTAGAGCATAATATGTAGAAAATAGATGTTTGAAAGATGGTAGTGATGTGTGGAAGGTTTCCAAATCATTAATGAGACCCTGACTCAAAATTTAAAGGACAGGCTTGGTAACAGACACCTGTAATCCAAGCACTCAAGAGGCTGGGGAAGGAGGATCGCTTTGAGCTTGGGACCAGCCTGGGCTAAAAGTGAGCTCAAGGCCAGCCTGAACTGCACAGCCAGACCATGTCTCAAAAAAAAGAAAAAAAATATATATAGAAATAAAGAAAGGACAAGGGATGTAGCTCTGTGCTAGTTTTAATTCCCAGTACAGGGAAAAAAAAATATTTACACATTCTAATTTTTTACACATCAGTTTAATAGTTTATGATAGACTGCTGTATAGACATACCCTATTTAACCAGTCTCTCACTGGTCGTTTAAGCACCTTCCACGATTTCGCCATAATTCCCAGTATGCGTGTCCCCGCTGCAGACAGTGCCATGGTAAACATCTCAAGACAGATGAGATCGGGCTCTGGGCAGATGACCTCAGGGTCATGGGCACAGCACATCTCTGTGCCCTGGGCTCTTACAAAAGGATGTCGAGGGTGTCTGCACAGGACATAACGCTCTGTTTTGTTCTGTGCGGCAGCCAAGGTCCCGAAGCTTGTTATGGTCACAGGAATACGCCATCACAGCTCTAGAATGCTGTGTCCGAGGGAGGTAGAAAGCAGGAAGACACAGATGGGATTTTAAATATTCCAGAAGCCTCGTTAAGACAAGCGAAAGACAAAGTACTCTGTAGGTTCTGCAGCAACAGTAACACATTTCTGACTCCTGCTAGGAGCCAGCCTGGCTGCTGTGTGCTCGAAGCCCCCAAGGGCAGTGCCAACGCCTGTCCCATGTGCAGGTGCAGAAGTGAAATAATGCCAAAAAGAGGGTTAGCACCCCACCTTGCAGGCAGCAAGATGATGAAGGATTTTAAAACGTGGCCCTTGGTCTGCTGGGAGTGGTACTGAACATGAGCTGAGTGATCCAGACACAGAATTCAGCCTGGGGGCTCCCGGGTTTCTCTAGGCAGAAATAAAGGTGACTATACAAAGGTCTTGTATGTTGGCTAATTGGGATTGGACCCCCCCCCGGGGTACGGTGGGCAATGGACAACGGAGCCCACATTCATCCCATCGATGCCATAGCGTCCTCACCTTGCTTGGCTGGAGGAGGTGCAGAGAGATGGCAGCAGCCCCTGCTTCTCAGAAACGCGGTTGCAGGGGAATGAGGAACTGCCAATGGAAAGGGCCAAGTGAGCAAGCTCCTAGCAGGTGTGGCTAAAGACACGGTGCATTTCAACCTCTAACTACGGCATACTGCAGTCGAGCACACCCTGCCGCTCGGCCCCCTCCACCTCCTCACCTCACTTTGAACGCACTTATCCCAACGTTCTCACCATTTCCTAAAGCCGTTCTGGAAGTGCTCTTTCGTGAGTGTCTCTAGGCCCCTCCCCTGCTTCCCTCAAGGTCTTCACTGGACTCAAAACATTCACCTTTTGTGGTCATGTTGCTTTGGGGAACAGCCAGAAGTCTCACGGTGCCAGTGATCTGGTGACCGAAATAGATGACAGCGCATCATAGTGTTTCTGCAAGCCTGCTTTCTGCTGGGGGGCACCAAGCAGCAGCATCTCCTGTGTCTCCTTATTCTGTGTCTATTTCTTTAAATGCCCATTTCTTGTATGAAGTGGTAGCCAGGGGTGGGAATTGAATTTGTAAACGTTCTTTTTATGTATTTATTTACTTTTCTTTTTCCTTTTTTTTATTTTAGGGAATGGTCTACAGGGTGTTTAGGGTTTTATTACTAGATCAGAATCATAGTAATCCACCTGTGTACAGACTCCCAAGAGCTGGGATTACAGGTGTATGCAAACAAACCGTCTAAACTGCAATCTCAGTGTGCACCCACCCCGGGGGGGGGGCAGGGTCAGCAGGGCAGGCCACCAGGGATCGAACCCCAGACCCCTGTGCCTGCTTGCAGGTGCTTTAGTCTGCTGAGCTATTTGGCAGGCCCTTATTTATTTATTTTTATGTGTGTGTGTGTGTGTGTGTGTGTGTGTGTGTGTTCGTTTGTTTGTTTATTTGTGAGAGAGGGTCTCACTGTGCAGTTCAGGCTAGACTTAAGCTCATTTTGTGGCCCAGCCTGATCAAGAACTCACAACGATCCTCCTGCCTCAGCCTCCTGTGACCATTGCTACTTACTTTCAAGGCTGGGGTAGGAGAATCACAAACTGAAGGCCAGCCAAGGCTACTTACCTTGTCTCAGGATTAAAAAAAAAAGGCTGGTGATGGACTCACTCGGGATGTAGCATCCCTAGTTTGATCCCCAGTAAAGGGGGTGGCAGGAAGTTTCTAGAATGGCCTCCTCGGGTCTCTTGTGATGTCCAAGGCCATGTGTAAGTCCCCACTTCACTCCTCTAGGGTAGCCAGAGTGAATGAAAAGGTTCTAAGAGACAACACAATAGTCATCCATCACTTGAGCGATTAAGGTCACAGCATTTTGTCCCTCCTGTTCCTGTCATCTTGGTGAAGCCATCCACCACGATGGAGAGGCTGCCTGAGGTCACAAGAAGCTGCGGGTGGTTTCTGACCCACAACTGGGGAAAGGAGAGGGACGGAAGGCCGGCTCAGCTCCCAGTGGAGTTTCAGGGTTACCATAGCTCATTTGGAGGGCCCAAGGCCCAAGTTTGGCCATCCAAGCACGAGACACGAGGCATAAAGACCTTAACGGGTCACTTGCTCCCATCAGCGTGCCCAGCCCACTCAGACCTCAAGAACCTGTGTTTGCCTGAGACCTTCATTCAATAAATTGCGCCCCCAACAAAGAAAAGGAAAGCTTTCCATTGTCTTCTCGGCCCTGACCGCGAGGTGGCAGCAAAGATAAGCAGACCAATCGGCCTTGCGCTTGATGGTGAAATCTGAAGTTCTATTCCTGAAAATAAATTTGTTTCGCTAAAAATGTATTTTTGCATTATGTCTTTTACGTGTTTATGGAATGAATCTTTATATGCTAAATGATTTACAAGAATTAGTCATGATGATCATTGCAACCCTTTGAGGCGTACTGCTGCCAGGAAACCAAGACTGTGTTGTCACACACCTAGTGAGTTGTATGGGCCACATTCAGCCTGGGAGTAAGGATGGTATAAAAGTTCTTTCTGGAACTTTTCTACGCCAATATACCTGAGTTGCTCTGAGTGTATGCATGTATGTGTATCTAGCAAACGTGTGTGTGTGTGTGTGTGTGTGTGTGTGTTCAGAATGGTGATACAATTGATCCCCACTTGCTTCTGATCTTGGGATCTCTCCCAAGGGCTTGCGCCTTTTGGCATCTCTAGCATGTTGCGTAATGTGGCTGGACCAGATGTCCAGGTAATCAACCCTTTGTAACTAGTCCTTCGAATTAATCCCAATTTTGTGCCTTTACCAAAATAAGCAAAAATGCTTCCAGAAACACCCTCAAATAGACTGCCCTGTGCTGGCATCTGTGCCCTCGCCACCCCTAGACACTAGTCGTGGGCTCCGGGCTGGGCCCCACCCCCACCCCCACCCCCACCCTCACCCTCACCCTCACCCTCAGTGTGGAGGAGCTGCTCCCTGCCTCAGGCGGGCATCGCAGCCCTGGTTACTGCCGTCGCAATTCTGTCAATTTCACAAGAGAAGGCGCTGGTAGATGTCCTCAAAGAGAACAGGCTTCTGTAAATTGACGAGCGCTTCACTCTCCCTCGCAAGTGAGCAGTCCCGAGTTTTCTTCTGCGGCCCGTGTCCCTGGGGGAGAGATCAAAGGGGATAACCCAGGTCCCTTGTGAGACCCGATCCATCAGAATGAGGGTTTGCCCTTTGCCCACACTCAGTGCTCACTCTGAAATAGGCCCGGGCAAGTTGCTGTGCGCAAATCCTACCACCCCGCAGCCCACGGGCCCCCGAACTGCGTGTGCGCTTTCACTGACAGAACCCTGCAAGATTCACTCCAGGGAAAGCGCCGACCAGCTGTGGGGACAGGAGGGAGACTCACAAAGCGCCTGAGGAATACTGAGAGGAAGGGCCAGGTGCGAAGTTCTACACCACCTGTGCCCCTGGGCCTCCTTGCTTTGGGGGTGGGGGCTTCCAGAACTCAGAGCCTTGCATGGGGTCCCTTCCACCCACCTGACGCAGCGCCACACCTGAGCTCACTCAGGCCTCACCGCGCCCCAGCAGGTAGGCACTGGCTTGCCGGGTTACAGATAAGGAAACAGGCTCAGGGAGGCAGCGCAGCGCAGGGAGAGTGCGCCAGGGCCTGCAGGGACACGGCAGGCAGCACAGGCGGCCGCACCGCAGCTGGCAGGAGGTGCAACGCAGAGGGCAGCCCCATCCGGCCCAGCCGGTGTCCCTCCCGGGGCGCGCGTTATCTGCCTTCCGCGGACACAGCTGCGGACTCACCAGCTCCGCCCCCGGCGACTTCCAACCTTTGGACCAGTAAACAAGCCCTGGTGTGGTCGGGGTGGCCCTGCCTGTCCTTGAGCCCACGGACCTGGCATGCACACTCAGGGTTGGAGCTGAGCACGGGTCTCCGCACAGCCGCTAGGGGTCGGACCCCGCAGCCACCCATGAACAGGACCTCGCAGGGATGGTTTTGGGCCCTAATTTCTTCCTGAAATAGGACAGGGCAGGAACCGTGGAATCAAGGGGAAACTGAGGAACAGCGAGAGCCCGGGTGTGCGAGAGCCTGGGTGCGAAGCTAGGTCCACAAATGCAGGCCACCGGTCGCAACTTTCCGCTGCTGGGTGGCCTCCATGTGTACTCCCCAGGCTGCATCATAGTCCACAGCTCCTGTTATCTACAGGGCCCCAGAGCCCAGGGACCCTGGGACAGGGCCCACCCTGGCCCAAGGATGGAGGGATGGGCTGTGGGGGGCTGCTGGGCCTGATATGGGCTGCAGGCAAGCGCCCCTTTATCAGCTGAGCTCGGGGCTGCAGGCAGCGCGGGTCCTGTCAGGAGAGGCTCCTGGGCCTGTGCAGAAGAGATACAAGACACGCATTTTAACAGGCACACAGAGGTCGGTGTTGCTGTCTCTGATTACAAGGTCGGCCAGGCCTAGGACAATACAGCGAAGCCAAGCAGAAGCAGACCGTGGAGAAAGTGAAAGGGCCTAGAAAGCCACTTCTACAGGCCGTCCTGCCCCACTTGGGGTCATCGTCCAGATCTCTTCTTACCTATAGACTGACACTGTCAGAAACTGAATGAGTTAGACTCAAAGAGCACAGTGCAGTGGCATGCGGCACTCTTGGGTCCTGGGCTTGTGACACACTGTCCTTGGTGTGCTCCTCCACACACCTCATGTGGACATTAAAATTCAACAGAATAATGCACGTGGGCAGGACCCAGCCTTCCGCAGGCCTCAGTGTTGCCCAGGTGCCCCAGCAACTTGCCCTGGCTTTTCATTCAAGAGCTGTTCCAAAAAAAGAAGATGAAGAGGAGGAGGAGGAGGAGGAGGAGAAAGAGGAGGAGGAGGAAGAGGAGGCCAAAAAACAAACAAAGAAAAATCTCAGGGCCTGGGGAAATAGCTCAGTGGAATAAGTACTTGCCTGGCAAGCACAAGGTCCTGAGTTTGATCCCTGGTACCATTTAAAAAAAAAAAAAAAAAAAAGAGGGGCTGGGGAGATGGCTCAGTAGAATAAGTGCTTTCCTGGCAAGCACAAGGCCCTGAGTTCAATCCCTGGTTCCGCAAAAA